ACTGGGTGAAAGAGATGCGGGAAACCCGTCGTGGTTATGGTATGGTGCCCTTCCAGGAACACGATGTCCCGTCTAGGAAGCACCAGCCGACATGCTCCGGTTGGTCACGAATCGCCACCAGCCTCTTGGCGAGCTCACCTCGCCCCTCACCCGTCCGGCGCCGCTTTTAACACGCTCACCCCCCCGGCTCACCTTTCCGCGAAGGCACGTGAGATCACTCCCCCCAGACTTGCAGTTCGTGGTAGGGAAATAGCGGCCTCCCTCCGCCCTTAACCCCAATTGTCCGTCTCCATACTTGGACATTGGCATTCTCCGTGTTTGGCGCAATACGTCTCCGTCGATATTGCCCTCTAAAGAGTGCTTCACGGTGTGCTACTTCCTCTCAAACAGCGTCCTGCTCCTAGGGCACTCTCTGGAAGGGCTGATCGTAGCAGAGACATAGACTTGGTCTCAAGATGTCCGATGACAGTTCCAAGCCGGCCGCATGCGATCGCTGCCACAAGAGAAAATCCAAATGTGATCGGCTGAGGCCCGCGTGCACCTCGTGTGCCAAAGGAGGTACTCAGTGTACCTACAGCGCCAAAGACCCTGCCATACGACGCCAGGACATGGAAAAGCTCGAGAGACGTCTTCGGCAAATGGAGGCTAAAAATGAAGCCTTGACCAGCCAACTACGAGAAGCTCAACGACTTGCGAGCGTCGGCAGCCCCTCTACCGCTGTGCATTCGACTTCCGGCCGGACGCAAACGATGACAAACAACAACGAGGTGACGAGTCAAGTCTCGTCCCTCAGCCTCGGTGTGGGTGGCGAACGACAATACTTGGGACCAACCAGCGGGCTGCTCCTTGCGAGCCTCCTCCAAGTCGACGGCCGTACCAGAGGCCGGAATGCCCAGGACGACGACGATTACAATGCAGCTCGCACTTTTGGGTCGGCTGCGCGCGGTGAAACGGTCACTCCAGACATCGGAGCGCTGCCTCCGGAAAATCTCGCCCGGAGCTTGGTGAGGGCGTATTTGGCCCATGATCATCTGTGCTATCCATTCCTTCACCCCAAAACACTAATCAACAGCTTGGAATCCATCTATAGTGATATCTCTTTTTATCGGGCTCACCACGTCGAAGCATTTACCCTCGACATGGTCCTCGCCATCGCCACAGCTCAGGTCTCAAAGTTTGACTGGCAAGTTATGCCAGATGCAGAGACACACCATGACCGCGCCATGAGTCGGCTCGCTCCCGTTCTCGGCAAGGGTGGAAGTGTCGCCCTGCAAGCTGTCCTTCTAATGTGCCAATATCGAATTGGGAGTGGTCTCTACGATTCCTCGGCGAGCTTGTGGCATCTAGTGGGCACGGCAGCAAGGATGTGCTTCGAGCTAGGTCTGCACCGAGAGTCCGTCTACTGTTCACCAGCCCTAGGTACTTCCGACCTCGAAGAGAACGCCTTTGACGACTCAGAGGTGCGGAGGAGATGTTTCTGGTGCACGTTGGCAATGGATAGAATAACGAGCATCACCCTAGGCCGGCCACTAGCAATCCACTTGGACGACTTTGACACTGAACTGCCACGTGCCGAAGCCAACATTGTTCTCAGCCCAGACAACAGTCTGTCACCCACAGAGCCCGTCGGGAGTCCTCCTTGGCAACTCCGAACAGCGATCTTCCTACAGATTGTGCGCTACCGTATCATCTGCGGGAAGATCCTCAGCTCTTTGCACAACGCTATCCGGTCCCGACCGACCTCCTCAATCGACTACGAAGACCGGCAGAGAGTGCTGTTTGAGGAGCTGGAATCTTGGCGATCTGACACCGAGACGTTGCCTCTCGGAGGCTCTCTGAGCGAGTCGGATCGCTCCAGCTTCCGGACTCGGGAATGGTATGATCTGCTGTACCTGAATGGAATCTTGATGTTGTACCGACCTTCGCCATCTATCCACGAGCCCCCCCAACACGGCGATAGCCTTCAACGAATCCTAGAGGCGGCGCAGAAAGCCATTGGTATCTATGCATATCTTCACAAGTCGCGTCGCATCAACTACTCTCCGATCACCCTTCACTCCGTTTTCATCGCAGGTCTCTCCTATATCTACGCCATCCGGTCGCATTTGCGACTTCGCCGGCGCGACCTTACGAATGGTGTCGGTCCCTCAACGCCAAGGGCGACCGGTTTGTCCACCGATCCAAGCATTACTCAGATAGTCAACACTACGCGTGACTGCTCCAATGTCCTCGTCGCTGTCTCTGAGCGGTGGTCTACAGCCCGCAATGCTCATCAGGTGTTTGGGAGACTCAGTGACGCGCTGTTGACCGATGTGGTTGAATTTCAGAGCCAGACACGAAGCGCCCTCAACAGCAGTATGCCTCTTCAGGGCGTGCTGCATCAGGAGCAACCTCGAAATATGTCGCAGACTGAAATGACTCCCACATTGGGACAGCACTTGTTCTCATCTACGGCCTTGAATGGCATGGATTTCAGTTATCAGGATTGTTTCAATGACTTGCAGGATCTTTATAATGGCTACGACTTTGCCAACGTTTCCATGATACAAGCCAGTCAAGATTGGCTGTTTGAGATACAGACGCTCGATCACAGCATGGGCGGAGTGGGCCACTGACCGAGAGGAAGCGTTGCTGTGTCCACACACGTGCACCCTTATATTCGGCCTCGGTTGAGAAACTGTAACGGGATATCGACATGCCTACTCCTCAAGTATTCGCCAATGCCTTTACCAAGTCCATCGATGCGATCCGAAGAGGCGATGCCACCGGAGAGGTTGTCCAGAACACGACTGAAAGTGCGTCAACGCCTGAAATACAGAGGTGAGGGATGACATGGTGGTACTTACAAATGGACGGCAAGGATTTTGGGGAATTCAACTCGCTCAACTCGTCGAGAAGGATCGCATTTGAACCAGTCTTTGCCAAACAGCTCCTTGAGCTTCTTCACAGTCAGGAGTGTTTTCAGCCAGGGGTATTCGTCCTCGTGGCGGACGAAAAAGCCGATGTTTGAATTGTCCGCCTTGTCACCTGACCTTGCGTGCACAATACTACCCAGAGGGACCCTCGCTGTAGGGCCCAGGGAAGCCAAGTCGATAGGATCGGCCGACTCGTACGATGGCCTCACGGCTGGATACTCGGCTGTCTTCTTGGTGGTCGGAATCTCGAGCAGCCTTCCGTTTCCCAGATCAACCTGATGATGGATGATGGAGAGTGGAATGACAGCGGGGAAAATCTCCATGAAGGGCTTTGGATCCATAGTCCGGAAGTCCAGGTTCATATGGTAGCCGGGGTAACTTTGCATCCTCAGCGCGTATATCGGAGTCTTAAAGTGGGGAGCGACAATGTCTTCCTGCCTCCGGGCCTGTGCAAAGACTCGCAACTGAAGAGTCCCAGCCTGCTGGCTCTCGGGGTTTTCTACCTCGGATCCATACAGCTCAATGCTCAGCTTGCTGAATCTGTGGTTCTGGAATACGTGGTTCAGCTGCTGCTTCATCATTTGAGCCTTCGCATCAACGTCGAGTCCATTGATGAAGAAGGTCGCCTCGGCCTGGTACCCCCCTGGTGCAGCGAACATTGCTTTGGTCGTCGCCGGCGGTGGAAGACCGACAATACCTGTGACCCGGACTCGATCCTCCGAGCCTTCCTCTGCCTCAATCTGAATATTTGAGAGATCCGCCACAACATCAGGGTTGAGGTAGAGGTGGCCTTGCAATTCATACAACGTCTGCGCCTTGACTGTCTCGGTCGTGACATGGCCACCTCCCGTCGATGTCTTCGTGATGACACATCCACCTCGAGCATCAATCTCGGCAATGGGAAATGCCACGTCAACGAGGTCGTCCAGAAACTCCTTGAACCCGGAGAAATTGGCACCCACAACGTAGGCGCCACATTCGATCAAGTGGCCCGCCAGCAGTGCCCCCGCCAGCTCGTCGTACTGACCTTCCAGATCCCAGCCAAAGTGCCACGCGGCAGCACCCATGACAGGCGATGCGTCCGTACACCGTCCACATATCACGATACTTGCGCCAGCCTTGAGAGCCTCTACTATGCCTCGACATCCGACATATGCGTTTCCACAGAAGGGCTCTAGATTCCAATCGTCCAATGTCCGCTCCGCATGATCCAAGTGAGGAAAATGGAGGTCTTTCCGCCGCTCCGGGTCGTGGATCAAATTCGAAATGTCGTCGCCGAGCACTGCAGCCACGGTGATCTGATCATGTCCCTTCGATCGGAGCAGCTCGCGTACTTTCTTCGTGAGGGATTGAGTGTTCAAAGCTCCGGCGTTGGTGACAACCTTGATTCCCTTCGCAACGATATCGTCGATACACTCCTCGAGTTGCAGGAAGAATCCGTCTTCGTAGCCCAGTTCCCGATTGTCCTTCTTAGCAATAGCGTTCCAGGCAATGTTCATCTCGGACAGCCAATCCCCCGTAATCACATCGATGTTGTTTTCGGCCACCATTCTAGCCATGGCAGTGGGCATGTCGCCCGTTGCACCGGAAACATTTCCAATGCGGATGGAACCTTTGCTTATCATGCTGAAATGGTCGAGTTGCGGGCTCAATTGCAGGTTGGCGGTCATGATAACCACTATTCACAACATATCTGAACAAGTTCTTCCAGCTAGAGGCGGTCGACGAATCTTGGTCAATGCACGCACAGTGTGGCCAAGCTCCACCAGACGCAGTACGATTCCTGCCCGACTTGTGGCACCCCGTGCAAGGTACGGACTTGGTTAGATGATTGATTCCCTGGTCTTGGTCCGGATCCACCATCGGTGTCAAGGCCGAAATGCTACTCTTCTCCTTTTCTAGCACATCCGGAGGGCTTCAATCGAAGGAGGATCTGCCTAACGGGGGTGGCCAGACCCGGAACTCATTCCTTCCTGGCGTATCTTTTCTTCAAGCAGTTTTCTACTGGCGGTTTCAAGGGAGCCTATACATGCATGATTACACAATGTCATGACGAATCTAACAACAACTTCCTGGACTCCATCATTAAGGCTTCAAAACGACCTTTCTCGCCAGCTGCTTCTCAAAAATTTCATATCCATGCGCTGCCCCCGACAATGGTAGCCGATGTGTTACCATGCTCGCGAGCTTTGCCTTGTTTGCCATGACAATCTCCAGTGCCTCGTCGAAGACTGCGCTCACCGGTGCACGCCCAAGATTGATGCTGTAGAAGATCAGCCGACCATCGAAGAGCAGGTCGAGAGAACTTGACTTACTTCAGGTTCTTTTGGTAGCATTCGAGCGCAGTGAAGGGAAGATCACCTTGATGGAAGCCAATCGACGACAAGACACCACAAGGTCTCAGCATATCAAAAGCCGATCTCAGTGCTGACTTGCTGCCAACCACTTCAATGATAGCGTCGGCGCCGCGGCCATCCGTTGCTTTGTTTATCGTTTCTGCTATGTCGTGCTGGCCCAATTTGAGCGGAATGCCGCCCATGTTTGCCGCCTGTTCTAGCCTGTCGTCGACACTGTCGACGACGTAAATCGTTCTCACCCCTTTGGATCGCGCGGTCAGGATTGCGCAGAGGCCTACTGGCCCGCAGCCGAGGCAAACAAAAACTGCCTCTGTGAGTGATTGCGACTTTGACAGACGGCTTTGGCTTTTTTCAAAGGAGTAAGCATCACTTCCGATCCCCAGATCAGGCGACCGAAAAAACTCGATAGCTCTCATGGCGCCATAGTAGCCAGTGGGGAAGATGTCGCACATCATGATCAAAAGGTCATCCTCGACATTTTCCGGCGTCGCCCTGAGTGTGCCGTCTGCAAACGGCACCCGGACGTACTCAGCCTGCCCTCCAGCTAGACCTTGGGTGCCAAATGGTGCGAATCCTTTAGGGCACCGATTGGGATAGCCGTGTTGGCAAAACCAGCAAGACATGCTGTTCAAACATTCGCGTTGCTTCAGCCACTTCATTTGTCTTGCAAAGGAGCCCACAGTCCAGTGTACAACGCCAACTATGACTTACCAGACAGGAGAGAACGTGGAGACAACTTTCTGCCCAACGTTGAAGTTGCGAACCTCTGGTCCGATCTTTTCGATATATCCCACGAATTCGTGTCCCTGGATGTGATGCCCACTGTTAGTATCTGAGCACTGAATAACATCCAAGGCAAGGCTGGATAAGATTCAATCACCATGATATGTCCGACTGGAGTCTTCTGGTGACCACGATACATGTGCAATTCCGAACCACAGATGCCTGCCGATGTCACCTTGACGATGGCGTCCGTGGGTTCTGTCACAGTTGGTATTGGACGCTTCTCCACGTCTATTGTCCAAGGCCCATTGAATATAACGGCGTCCATGTCGTGTCCTATGTTCTCCATTGAGGTAATGACCATAGATTCCCTGTTATCTTGTCTCAGTATCGAAAATGGGTACAATCGGCTTTGAGAGTGCTTGAAGGAGAGCAGATCTGTTACAGCTTACAGCGTTTAGGTTTTCGTTCAGCAATAGGCACATGAGATATGATTCACCTGGAGCCTACGTCGGCCCTTCTACACTCTGAGAGCAGCATTGGAAAACCCTCTGAATGAGGGCACCCCCCAAAACGCCGGCTACGGCGGCAACTTTGGCCGAAGGCTACATTAGGAACGGGACACGACAAGGCTCAGAGACATTCTGCTTGCTCGGTGGATCCATGTCATCCATCGCGGGATCCAGTCTGGCAAAGGAATACCACCCCCCCAGGGTCAGTGTTGCTCGGCCGTCGTAAAGCTTAGTAGATAACCATTCCCATAGCCAGTGTAGATAATACTATTACAAATGGAAGAAAGCCAGTGACAGACCCAGATTTCACGCGGCACGGATGCCGACGCCGCAGTGCTGATCGGCTGGACCGCCGACACCTTCGGAAATTCTTCCTTCGACCCACAGATGGACCCCCAAACATTGGCAGCTGGGAAGTTTCGCCATGGCGATGATGAATGGAATGAGACGAAACTTTATAGAGCGAACCCGCAAAGCCATCAATGAAGACATCAGCCGACCACAGAATGGAGTCCCACCATAGTCTATTGGTTGGCACACGGTACCGAATTGCCAGCTCCAGGAATGCTTGCCATATGGGACGTGTGCACACTTGCCGGGTCGGCAACGGCGTCGATCCTCGAACAAATGGAACTGACAAGAGCAGTGAACATCAAAGTCCTCCTTCCAAGTCGAGTGACTCTTCAACTTCCAGCACTGGTTTCTAGATAGCATTCGAAGATGGTGGGAGCAAATTTCCCGACTCCAAAGCCCACGGACCTGACTTGTTTTTACATCAACGGTCGATACGTCAAACCGATCTGCGAGGAAACATACATCTTGCGAAATCCCAAGGATGATACAATCGTGGCCGATGCGGTCCCCATCGGCGGACCTGAGGACGTCGACGCAGCGGTCGCAGCGGCCGAGGAAGCTTTTACTGGACCATGGAGCAACTTCACGGCCGCACAACGATCAGAGTGTCTCCGCAAGCTCGCTGACCTGCTGGAAGACAACCTGGTTGACATCCTGACCCTGGATTCAATGACCACGGGGAATCCAGTTTCCCTTATTCCGACACGTGAGAAGACTTATATCAAAAATAATTTGCTATACTATGGTACGCAAAGGGACTGCACTCTATGGGGGCGAAGGGTTCTGTCTGATCTGTGAAAAACAGCCGGGTGGACGGACAAGCAAAGAGGAGACTACTTTCCAGCCGACGATGGGTTCGTCAAACTGGTGCGCCACGAGCCTTTGGGGTGAGTATCCGGTCATGATCTGGACGATCACCACAGGGGCAATTGTAAACATTGCTGACGAGGCAGCGTGTGCGTGGGAATCAACCCGTACAACTCTCCGGTCGCGTCATTCATCATCAAAGCCGCACCATGTCTCGCAACGGGCAATGTGTTGATCATCAAGCCTTCCGAGAAATCTCCCTTCGGATCCTTGGCCCTGGCTCCCTTGTTTGAGCAAGCCGGCTTTCCAAAGGGTGTGGTGCAGGTGGTGTGCGGCGATGGTCGAACTGGGGCCCTCTTCGCCCAACACATGCGTGTGAGGAAGGTATGGAGTATATTTCTTTTCCCAGCCGGGGTGACTTGGGATCCCAGTGTGGGGGGGAACGCTTCGCTGAAATTAGTGAACGCCAACAACAGATAAGCTTCACGGGCAGTATTGCAACGGGGAAGAAGATTCAGATCGCGGCGGCAGCGAGCAACCTCAAAAGAGTTACCTTGGAGCTTGGTAAGAGCTTCCCGTGTTACCGAAAATCCGACTTCGCTCACTAGAGACTGCCAGGGGGCAAAAGTCCAGCTGTGATTTTTGAAGACGCGAATATTGAGAACGCCCTTACGTGGTAGGAAGTCCGGGCACCGAACATGTGCGAAAAAGAAGGGGCTAATATGCGAATTTCAGGACCATTAACGGGATCCTGGCTCGGTCCGGCCAGGTCTGCGTTGCAGCGTCGCGAATCTACGTTCAGAAATCGATCGCGGCCAGGTTTATCGGAGCTTATAGCCAGCGGATGGAAGCAGCGGCTTCGCAACTAGGTGACCCGCAAGATCCCCGAACGACGCTGGGGCCTCTTGCCGATGCAGCCAGTTTCTCCAAAGTCCAAGCGATGATCGAGCAAGGCAAGACCGAAGCCGAACTCGTAGTTGGAGGCGTCAGGCACGGCCCTGACGGTTGCTTCATGAAACCGACCGTATTTCTGCATCCTAAGCCGGACGCGGAAATCTACAAGACCGAAGTTTTTGGACCGGTCGCAGTCATTCGGACTTTTGAGACCGAGGAAGAGGTTCTCAGGCTGGCAAACGACACAGAGTATGGGCTGATGGCGGGGGTTTTCACCAGAGACATCAATAGGGCGCTGAGGGTGTCTAGCAAGATCGATTCCGGGGTCTGTGGTATCAACTGCATCTCTCACATGAGCATTCAGGCCCCGTTTGGAGGGAGAAAATCGTCTGGGATCGGCAGAGAGTTTGGCGAATACGTGAGCTTTCCACTCCTCCTGACGGGGGCAAGCTGTGGGAGTGTTTTTGATCAGTGCAGGCTAACTTCTGGTGTTGGAACACAGGCCTTGCGATCTTTCACCGAGCCAAAGACGGTGCTGATCAAGTAAGTCTGGGAACTCGAGAGCTGGAACCAAACGCTAACGCACGAAAACAGCATGAACTCGTGACAGCAACATCAAGGGTGTTCTGAGGGACTGGATAGAACGGTTCTTTTTTAGCTAAAGAAAAGATACAACCTGTGCCAGCCCTTCCACCCCCCCGGTGCCGCCCGGATGTTTCAGCCTCGTGAGCCCCCCGCCTGCCAAGCCCTGCATAAAGTGTTGAGGCACCGCCAATGCGAAAACTCGTTGATGATTATTGATTGACTGTTTGAACATGACAACACCATCCAATGTTCTCAAGTCCGCAGAGTGATGCGCATTTCGACCCGGTCGGTGGAGGCTGGGTGGGTCGTCCGGCGGCCGGGAGTCCGACACGCCTCTGGTCTGTTTGGTTTGAAATACCAGCCCAGGAACCCCCCCCCCCCCCCCCAAGTTCATCATCATCAAAAGATTTATTGGTTACACCATGGCTAACCAGACCTACAAGCAGGTGAAGCTGCCCCGGTTTGATGATCTCCCTCTGGATGCTTCTCATCCGCCTCATTCGGCATGGTTTCTTTTTGGCCAGGACGATCAACTAGGATGTCTCAATCACTTGACGCCCGAGCGTGTCGCCCATACGGCGGCCAATGAAATCAGGACCGGCGTTTCGGTCGGACTGAACTGGGGCCTGGACCAGATGAAGGTGCCGCCATTCTACCGGACCAAGTTGAAGCACGAGATTTTCAGCATTGGGGATTTTATCAATGTGGGTTGGCCGATGGTCAGTGGGCTAGAGACTAACTCGTCCTCGTGCAATCAATCCAGGACGACAAACTCGAATTTAATACTCAGACGAGTAGTCAGTGGGACGGCTTCCGACACTGGTCATTTCCAGACGGACGATTCTACAATGGGGTCACTCAAGACGAGGTACGCAGTGGCACTTCGGCACGAAATGGGATTCATGGTAGGCACCCGCTATCGTTCCAGCCCCGAAGGAAAAAGGCGAATCCTCATGTTGGCAGAGTGGACAAAGCGAGGGATTGTGGGACGGGGCGTCCTGATCGATCATTACTCGTATGTCACCGAACGAGGGGACCCAAACTACGACCCATGGCTCTACCACAAGATCCCCGTGTCCGAAATCGAGGCCATCGCAAAGGAGAAAGGGATCCAATTCCAGACGGGAGATCTTCTCCTGCTACGAACAGGTAGTGTGCTCGGTTGCGCCCACAGACCATTGGGGGGGAGATGCCCTTGCTGACGGCTTTCAAACCCCTTTGCCCCAGGCTTTGTCCATCGATATCAAACCATGCCATTTGACGCCCTGACGAGCCAGATGGCTCAGCCGGAATATCATTATCCGGGGCTCGAAGGCTCCGAGGAATCATTGCGCTGGCTGTGGAACACTCATTTCGCAGCCGTGGCCGCAGACAGCCCCGGCTTCGAGGCCTGGAGCGCCGGTCTGGGGGACTCGGGTGTTCAATACCGCATGCACGAAGTCATCCTCTCAGGCTTTGGGTTGCCGATCGGGGAGCTCTTCGACCTGGAAGCTCTGGCCGAGGAGTGCAAGAGACAGCAGCGATGGACCTTCTTCGTGACCAGCATGCCCCTGAACGTGCCTGGTGGGGTAGGGAGTCCTCCAAATGCCGTAGCCATCTTTTGATGTCGGAGAGACACGAGCGTTTTGCTTTCGCTAGAGTCTGGGTGGCGTCGCCACGTCTTCGAATACACAACTCACCTTTCACGTCAATACAGATAGATGGCTTTCCCGTGCTCAGGTTCCGCTCCGGCCATCCCAGCGGAGGCTCGCTTTTATGGCTCGAGGGCCTTGAATACCCGGAATAAGTGGGGACGTTCATTGTTGTTGAGGCCAAAAGGCGAGAAGGAGTCGAGGTAGTCAACATCGGGCGGCGCGCCGACCGTGGCGGTGGTTCAAGCCGACAAACTTCATGACCAGAGGCCTGGAGAAGAGAGCACCGTCCGCGCCCTCGAGGTGATGATACTCGGCGGAGGGAGAAGGTGAGAAACCCCCGACTGCCGTGCTGCTGCTCTCGTTCTCCATCCCGCTCGTGAAAAAAAAAAGGTGAACAAGCTATTCATCTCGGCATCTTTCCTGTTCGGTGCAAAGAGCCGTACCATGATGCCGATTTGGATAACCCAAGGTCCACCTCCAGGACCCAGGACCTTGCCCCCGAGGACTCTATCAGCAAAAACTTTGTTTCCAGTGCTCCGCTCACAGCGGGTCCCTCCGGTTCCGCTGCAATCTAGAGCCGTTCGTGCCACCGCCGACTCGCCTCAAGCGGGTTTTTCTCATCCGCTTGGACGGGGGTTCGACTGAATCGACACCGCGAAGGATGGCGTTTCCGATCCACAGTAGCGGGGGGTTTGCCGATGCCCACGAGGAAGTGCCAGAAGGCATGGAAGCTAGATTTGCGATCCGCAAAAGGAGACAACGACGAAGGGAGACCGCCACGGCGTGACAGCGTGACGGGGTGTGAGCCGACGACGCTCTCATCTCTCTTTAAAAGTGCTCCCTTCCCCAGATCCCCCATATGAACACCCCGAGTTTACTCCAGTCTTGAACCGGGAGCCCTCGAATACAACCAGTACACCTGCTACTCTTCGTTGTGGGCAGAACGCTCGCTCTACTCGCTCATCATGGTCCTGTCTCCCTCTGCCATCCGTCTTTTGGTAAGTGGTCTGCTCTGGACGGCGAGACGGAAAATGTATCCTGACCCAAGTGTCCTCGTTAGATTGTGCTCTTCGTCGCCTTGGGCTCTTTGACCTACGGGTACAGCGCCAGCATCATCGCGACCACCCTGGGACAACCCTCGTTCATCGCCTACTTCGAACTCGACACTCGATCGAATGCCACTCAGTTGACAGGCGCCATCAATGGCCTGTTCCAGACCGGCGGCCTATTCGGCACCCTCTCCTGCACCAAGCTCCCGGACTGGCTGGGTCGGAGGAAGGCACTGCTGCTGAATGCCGTCATCACTGTCATTGGAGGCGCCCTCCAAGCCGGGAGCGTCGACATCGGCATGTACATTGCCATGAGATTCGTCACTGGCTGGGGAATAGGTAGGTTCTCCTGGGGTGCCATGCGTGCTTTGGCCCTCGTTTTTTTTTTAGCAACCCCATCAAACTGAAACCTCGTCGTCGTCTAGGTGGACTCGTCACGCTCGTCCCTCTTTACCAGTCCGAAATCGCACCTCCTCGAATTCGGGGATGGCTCGTGGGCATGCACGGCGTCTTGATCTGCGTGGGTTATGCCGCGGCGAGCTGGATCGGCCTGGGTTTCTACTTTGTCAACGCCAGCGGCGCACAATGGCGACTGCCCCTGGCCATCCAGTGCTTTCCCCCCTTGTTCCTGGCCCTCGGAGTCTTGTTCTTGCCCGAATCGCCTCGCTGGCTCGTCGACCGTGACCGTGTCGACGAGGCGTACAGGTCGTTCAAGGCGGTCCGAGCGGAGAGGACCGACGACATCATCAGCGATGATCTGGCGATCCGAGCAGAGTTCAATCTCCTGCAAGGCCAGATTCTGCACGAAAGGCTGGAAGTGCTGTCCTTTATCGACCTCTGGAGAAAGCCTTCTATGCGAAAGCGGTGCATCGTGGGCTTCCTCGCCTTGTTTGGCTGTCAGGGAACGGCAACACTTGTCATTAACAGTAGGTTGCTCCCCCCGGGGGGCGGGGGGTCTCGGTGCTTTTTGGGAAATCCTCGATTGCTGACGGTGGGCCTCCCTTCCAGACTATGGTCCCTCGCTTTATTCCTCCTTGGGATTCAATACCGTCCAACAGCTGCTCATCCAAAGCGGGTGGATCACTGTTTGTCCCTTCGGTAACTACATCAATGCCTTGATCGTCGATAGAGTTGGCCGTACTCGGTTGCTGGGTGAGTCCACCCCATCTAGCAGTGTGTCCCTTATCCTTCCCCCCCCAAACTAACGGAGCTCTCACAGTCTTCGGCTTCTCTGGCACCATCCTCGCCCTCATCGGCGAATGCATCACGGTGTCTATTTTCCAGCGCACCGGCGACCGGGGTGTCGCGGGCGCCGCCGTCTTCTTCCTCTTCTTGCACATTACCTTTTTCTCGTGCTGCTGCGACGCAACCTCGTACATCTACGCCGCCGAGATCTTCCCCACGCCGGTCAGGGCCAAGGGGCTTGCTGTCTCGATTTCCGGCCTCTTTATCGCTACCATTATCTTCCTGCAAGCCGCTCCGACCGCTTTCGCCAACATCGGATGGAAATACTACATTGTTTTCATCGTCGTCACCTCTCTCATCACCCTCACGGTGTTGTTCTGGTTCCCGGAGACCAAGGGACTTTCCCTCGAGGACATTGGCGAGCTCTTTGGCGATTCGATCGAACCAACGCAGCTCGACGAGAAGATGCAGGTGCAAGAGGAGACCATCGAGGATCTTGATGCTGGGACGCAGTCAGAGAAACATGTACAACAGTCGGTCAGCTCTACGTGATGGGAAGAATCATGTATCCAAAGGGAAGATCTTCGTCTCTTCTTGGATGATGATGATTTTCGCTTGCCCAATTGCCGACGTCAAACAGAGTTGGGAAGACGGCGGTTCAGAAATACGGCAATCGTTCACGCCAATTTGTTGTTGTTGTTGTTGTTGTTGAGACCCTGAGGAATTTTGTACCAGACTTGAGGGACTGTAGAGCAGGGGAGGTGCCAGTTCGCATTGGCCCCTCAATAGATGACACTTTAACCTTTCCCAAGGCTTGACATTTCCCCGGACGAGGCATCGTCTCCTCTTATTCGTACTGTTAAGGCAATATTTTGAGACGTGTGACATGCTCTGAAACGAGGGGAGGAGCGGTGCAGCCTGCCCACCCGGCATCCATATCTCTCTCCCAATCTAAATAATGTTTGTACACACAATCGCATAATCAAGGCAAGAAGAGGTTGAGAGAGCCACTCACCGAGACAAAAAGGCTTTCCTTGAGAATGTTGAAAGCGAGGCGGGATTCCCACGCGGGGCACAAAACGGGCAATTTGACAGGCTTTCTTATCGACTTTCATACTTCAGTACGTTTTGCTACATAAGGAGGGCGATGTCGTCGGGCCCCGAAATTTTTCTCGGTGATCCACCTTTTTGCTGCGCTGGCCGAGGCAGAGAGACTCAACGGCGAGACACTACAAAGGATGTTTGGGAGCCTACGTAGAGAAAGGGCGTTGAAGGGGAGCACGCTATTCATAAACTAGGTACTTACTTAAGTTCTAGGTCCAAGGGAGGAGGGCGCTAAGGTAACGGTAGGCGTCTAAGACGGGACCTATTTTCGATCGAGCGCATATATATATTTACATATAAGTCGACGGGGTACGTAGTAACGGTGAGTAGAGGTGAGAAGAGAGGAGGGTGAGGGAGGGTGAGGGAGGTGTAAGTCGCAAGCGACGGGGGGTTTTGAAAGCCGCACGGGTTCGGGTGAGCCGCACGTGAGCTTCCCTACGGATTTTCCGTCCTTTATATCCGCCAATATACAAGGTATCATCTCTTTAGTAGACAGCGCAGTTTTAAGGTCTCGGGAGGTGTGTCACCCAGCCAAGGCCTCGAAGCGTAGAACCAGCGACGCCGCTTTTGAAGGAGAGGGTAGCCCGAAAGTGCCCAATTGCCGCAATCCTGAGCCCCCACCCGCGGTGAGTCGCGGTCGAGGGTCGGTCTTTCCGCGGCCAGATGCCAGGACGGGTGATCGCGCATCCCAATGATGAGTGCGCTGGGCGTGATTTTACCTTCTCCTGGCTTGTTGTCTCTCCCCGAATGCTGATCGACGGATGGTACCGGTTGATGGGACCCGGTGTGCTTAATAAGAGATCCAAGAGGGAGAAAACCCTTCTAGATGAAGACTGGCTAGATTCGGTAATAATATTGCATGACCGTGCATGCTTTCGTCCAGGGCACGCTTTGAAATCCCTGCTGTCCTGATAATAGAGTGTTTGACGGAGAGAACCCTTCTTTGGCTTCAGAATGATGTCAATCCTGCGGCGGATAGATCCTTGTGAAGAAAGAACTTCCAAAGCGATGGCAGGTACTGCAGATTGGTAATGCACTCTCTGAACCCAGCTGCAGAGATGTGTATGTATATAAAAAGACAAGGAACCATGTCTACCTCAAATTCTCTCCAGTGCATCCTCCTGAGTTGTTCGTCTTTCAGCATTCAAGTCTCTACTACAAGACCCGAAACATCACAGCAAAAAAAAAAAAAATTAAGGCTTCAGAGCGCACTTAGTCCACAATGGTCGAGTTCACAGTTTTCAAAGGCGGCAAGGCTGGCATCGTCCAAGCCACCTCCCAGCGCGAGATTGGTCCGCATGAAGTCCTCGTCAAGATCACGCACAGTGGCCTGTGTGGTACCGATCTCCATCACAAGGACATGGACATGGGGCTTGGTCATGAAGGCGTGGGCATTGTCGAAGACATTGGCAAGGACGTGACCATGTTCAAGAAGGGCGACCGAGCCGGTTGGGGATACATCCACAACGCCTGCGGGCAGTGCAAGCAATGCCTTCGTGGCGCCGAAACCTTCTGCTCTCAACGGCAGTATTACGGCACGGCCAACTTCGACCAGGGATCCTTGGGCACCCACGCCGTCTGGGTCGAGAACTTCCTGTTCAAGATCCCCCCAGAAATCAGCTCCGAGCACGCGGCCCCCTTGATGTGTGGCGGAGCCACCGTCTTCAACGCTCTCCACCTTCACGGGGTCAAGAGCACCGACCGCGTCGGAGTCATTGGCGTGGGCGGTCTCGGACATCTGGCCATCCAATTTGCTGCGGCAATGGGGTGTAAAGTGGCCGTCTTCTCCGGGACAGACAGCAAGAGGGACGAAGCGCTCAAGCTCGGCGCCCATGAATTCTATGCGACCAAAGGCCAAACGGAGCTCAAGGTGTCCCAGCCCATCGACCACTTGCTCGTGACGACCGCCTCGCAGCCCAACTGGGACATGTACCTCCCCATCATGGCACCCTCGGGCACGATTTACCCCCTCACCGTCAGTTCAGGAGACCTCAAGATGCCGTATATGGCCATAGTCATGAACGGCCTGAAAGTTCAGGGTAGCCTCGTGGCCGCGAGGCAGGTCCACCGGGAAATGCTCGAGTTTGCGGCCGTCCACGACTTGAAACCCATCATCCAGACCTTCCCGCTGACTGAAGGTGGCGTCGACGAAGCCTTTCAGATGTTGGAGAGCGGCCAGATGCGGTACAGAGGGGTCCTCGTGGCATAGATCGGGGGGGCGATGGGATTTCTGTGTCCAACCGAATTTAGCTAGTAGTCTATACCTTGAGGCGCGATGAGATAGAGGAGTTGGGAGAAATCAATATACAATACAATCTTGACCTTTGGTTTTCAGCAAAACACCGCCTCGTATTGCTGTCTCTACTTGTTTGTACTCGATGACGTAAAATTCGGGTCTCAGGCCGAGGCTGAGCCGAAGTCGAGCCGAATCACGTGGAAATTGGCCTATCACGTCGATCAACGGCTGTCAACGGCGCCTCAGCGAAGAGTGGATCAGCGTCAAGAAAAAGGAGACGCGTGTCCAGTGGCGTTGATTGGATTAGCATTTCCGGATCTTTCGTTTTTCCGGTTCCGCCCATTGCAACCACGCAGCCCAGCCTCTCGCCTCCCCAAGTTTCTGCTTGAATCTCCCAAGACCAGATTCTGCCTCCTCCTCTCCAACAGAAAAAGAACCTGGCTCGGGCCAAGTCGTCAATGCGGCAACAATGCTGCTGAAGCCCAAGGAGGAGGTGGGCGACAGCCACGCAGACACCGATGTTCGAGGTCTACGCAAGATTCGAGCTCAAAGCCCGTGGACATGGCGACCTCTCACCCTCATTACGACCGCTTTCGCCCTCCTGTCGCTCGCTATCATCGTTCGCTCGTCCCTTCGGTTACAGGTCGACCCGCAAGGATGTGTCATGTCGATGATGGCCCCGACCTACATCAAGCTCTCGGGATTTGACACAGAACACTCGCGGTTTGCAACCAAATATTCGTTGTATCTGTATCGGGAAGAGGGGGTCGACGAATACACAAAGGATAACATTGGGTTGCGAGGTGCTCCGGTGCTGTTCATCCCAGGGAATGCTGGGAGTTACAAGCAGGTCCGGTCTCTCTCGTCCGAGTCGTCCCGCTACTTTCACAACGTCTTGCGCCACGACGCCGAGGCAATCAAAGCCGGGGTGCGGTCTTTCGATTTCTTTACTATCAATTTCAACGAGGATCTCTCGGCCTTTCACGGGCAGACGCTGCTTGATCAAGCCGAATATGTCAATGAAGCTATTGCCTACATCCTCTCCCTCTATGTCGACAGTAATCGCATCCGCCGCGACTCCCAATTACCAGATCCGAGTTCTGTTATCCTCATTGGACATTCAATGGGAGGGATTGTCGCACGCACCGTGCTTGTGACTCCCAAATATCAGGCCAATTCGGTCAACACCATCATTACCATGTCGACGCCTCATGCGCGACCACCAGTCTCATTCGACGCAGATGTTGTTTCACTGTACCAACAGGTCAACGACTACTGGCGAGAAGCTTACCTGCAACGGTGGGCTAGTAACAATCCTTTATGGCATACGACTCTAATTTCTATCGCCGGAGGAGGTCGGGATACCACTGTACCTTCCGACTATACCAACATTGCCTCGCTTGTTCCAGAAAGTCACGGGTTCACCGTCTTCAGTTCCACTATCCCAGGGGTCTGGACCGCGATGGATCATTTGGCGATTACTTGGGCCGATCAAATGCGAAAAGTCATCATCAGGTCTTTGTATGATGTGGTCGACGTTCGTCGAGCGGCACAGACCAAGCCACGGGTGGAGCGCATCAAAGTCTTCCGGAAGTGGTTTTTGACGGGCCTGGAAGATGACGCGCCAAAGAACATGCGTCATGCACCACACGAGGTGCTTCTGACCCTTGGTGATGGAACCAGATCAGCCGTGGCTAAGGAGGACAACGTCACCATCCGGCATTTTGGGGTAAATGATCATATGTCCGCAGTCCTGCTGCCGATTCCCTCCGTGGACAATTCCACCTCGAAGATTTTCTCGCTCTTGACGGATCAACAGATGGATGACCAAGGTGGCTTCGAGAGGATGGAAATATTGTTCTGTTCCGCCTTTCCACTCGCTGGGGGGCTCACTTCAACACCACTGCCAATCCAGTTTGACCTCTCGCCGGGTGATCCTAGCGCAACGAGACTTGCCTGCAAGAGACCAGCGGGAGACGCCATTCTACTGCCCGCCTCGACGCGGCTGTCCCAATACCCGTTTGAGCAACAGCCACCGTTTACATATTTGACCTACGATTTGAGAGATCTTCAAGACCACCAGTTTGTTGCAATGATAGACAAAGCCACGGAAAGGAGTCATGGCTGGGCCCATGCAGAGATTGTTCCTGGGGCAGACTCAGTCGTCGCCTCTGATGTGAGCCTACCGATGCTCTTGCTTCGGGGATTGAAT